CACTGTTGTGGACTCGCAGTGGTGCACCTGTGAGATCAGGAGGGGACAGAAGAACCCGGCGACACTGAGGACCCTCGTACACTCAGAATTCACGCCCTCTTGCGGCAAGGGTCGATGTTTGACACAAAAAACCAACACGTTCGTGGCCAGGACCAATAGGAATGGCCTCTAACATCCTCCAACCTGCTAGCGATGGCCTCCAACCTAGAAGCGATGGCCTCCACCCTAGCTCCAACCTCCGAGCCTTAAGTTTGTGGCCAGGACCGGGAAGATGGAAAGGGCAAAGGTTTCAAGGGCGACAAAGGAGATGGCAAAGGCAGATCCGACAGACAGTGCTATTGGCATCAAATTTATTGTACTACACTTAAAGCAGTTTCACAAGGCCGGAAACTTTCAAGCCGACTGAACTTGGAGATGTCAAGTTGGTTTGCAGGGAAAAAGGGTGAGAAGGGGGACGGCTTTGGCAAGAGCTCTGGCAAGGGCTTTGACAAAGGTTACGGCAAGGATGGCAAAGGCAAAGGCAAAGTCATTGGGAAGGGCTTTGACAAAGGTTACGGCAAGGATGGCAAAGGCAAAGGGAAGGCACGGAAGACGGAAGAGACAATTTGTGGGACATGTTGGGAACAAGCTAGAAGAAGCACATGCAGGAACTCGATGGAACACTCAACTCTGACCAGTCCGTCCTGATTGGGAAAAGAGTAGGAAAACATCAAAGGCCTACTGCGCTAGTAGGTTGGAGGCCATCGCTATGAGTTTTGAGCAGTGATGCTGAATGTCCGACGTGGGCAGGTGCACCCCGGCACGACGGACTCAGAAGACGATCCAGCCGGCACGACGGATCCACAGGTTAGCGAGGAAGAAGATCTCCAGAACATGCCCTCATTTTAGAGGTTCGCTCAAACGAGCTTTGCAGTGTGAACGATCTGGATTTTTTTCGGAGAAGATCCGCATAAGTTTCACCGTGCGAAAGCTTGGCAAAGGCCAGCCAACACAAGCGTTTCTCTCAGAAAAGGCATGTTCCTACCTCAACATGCTCCACTGACACTGGCTGTCTATGTTCCAATCTTCAGAGGAAACCAGAATTGCCATGAATTGCCACTCCATGAAGTCGACTGCCACATGGACTGCTTGGTGGCGTCGTCGACTCAAGCGGACGTCCCGCCGGATACCGGTCCGGTGATTCACCGGGATCTTCGGCCGAAGGGGCCGACCGGCGGACACTGCCGGTGGGGAGACCGGATCGGGGCGAGGTTTCAGATGAGCACAGCTTGGAGACCCAACAGGAGCTAGAACCCCCAAAACAGTGGTAGTGTTGTTGTTTTGTTGTCAGGCATGTCTCAGTCATATATTAGTTTATATTATATAGCTATTGTAATTATACAGCTATACGCAATACACATCTATTAGGACATCACTATTATAGTCACTATTAGCTTTTATTAGTTATAACATAATTGGTCAGTGGTTGCTGCTACACCTGCTTCTGTGCCACTGATTTACTTCAATTCAAACAAAGTTTAATTCTAGTTCAATTCTAATGTTTGAAGTGTGTGCACTAAATCAAGAAAACCTCTCTCTCTCTCTCTCTTTGCATATATATATATATATTGGGTGTCATGATAACCATATGTACTGTCAGTGGCCAACCGCCTATCCTTGGAAGGGGCCTACTGCAGGACCACTTTCGCTAAAATCAAAGCGTCCAGGCGGACGACCGCATGGAACTCATCAGCGAGCGAACTTCGGTTCCACACAGCATCTAGGCAGGACTCCCAGGATGATGAGTGGACGGGGAGGGCCAGGACCTTAATTGAAAGACGGAGGTTTGTACGTTCTGCTTGAGTCCATGGAGAGTTGGTACACTGTAGAGGATCCAAGAGTTTTTGAGTTGAACATGTTTGGAATATAGGGACTGGGGATGGGTCAAAACCTGGAGCCCGACCAGTCCACCATTTTTCGCGAACAACCTTCCGGTCGGTCCAGTATCTCGGTGACATGACCCACAGCCATTTGTTCGGGATCGTTGCAAAAGAGTTGAGGGGGATTACCAGGGGTCGGATTTTGCTCACCCTACATTCATTGGAGCCCACATTCATGCGCGATCTCATGCAAAGGCCATCAGTGGCTGTAGATGATTTTTTACAGGGACACGTGTGAAACGCTGGCACAAGGTGAGCATTGAAGACAGAACTTGCTGCTATCTACACTCATGTAATATCTAAATATTCTAAATTACGTACCTCTAAGGCCAGCAGTAGCATATAACTTATCACTAAACCCCTTTAGTGTTCAGGCAGCCAATGCCATTTTCCCAGGCTGCCAGCCTGCTCTCCTTGCGCTGCCGGTGCATCACGCAGCGTTCTGCCAGTGAAAAAAGACTGATGGTAAATCTGAAGGATGAGGGATCGAGAGGTTGCCAACCGGATCGCAGAGGCCTATGTTGTTGCACATATGCTATACTCACCTTAAGCAGATTCAGAACCTGATATGGATGATATGAATGATCTGGGGAGAATCGGACGAATTGGCTCATATACCGATGGCTTTCGGATCCAGTGACCGAACGTGGCCGTACGTGGGCCCTGAACAGGTCGGCCCTGAACCTGGCAATTGGACGGGCCCATCCCAGACACCACTTTGGCCGCGCTTTGGCCCTGGCGTCAAAAGGATATATGGTTTGAATTCGACTTGAAGTGGCAAAAGGACACAAACAGACAGTTGTGACACTGACCTATTGGCAGTTGGCCAACCTGTGGGATGGTCTTATTGAGTTATCTCAACTATTCTCGCCTGATCTTTCGGATTGATCTTTGATATTTCAAGAAGTTGTTGTCGATGCTTATCCCCCGGCCCCCCGGAGAGGAGACACTCTGATCTGTGGGTTCTAAGGTGGATGGCATGAATATTGACCAATATTGAACATCCTCAGGGTCGAATCCTTGAATCAAGCAGATGGTTCCTACGTGGTCGGTGGCTTTGTGATGTTTGGTGTTTTCAGGTCAACTGCTGGGAACACCAGCTCTTGGAGGATGGCTCTAACGAACACTGCCAGGCGAACAGGGCCCAACACTTCTACGAGCAGCAGATGACACATGTTTTGGAGGTCCTTCAGGCGTGATGGGGCGCAGCAGAAACAGTGGGGTCTTTGGACCGGCCTCAAAAAATACGGGAAAAACTGGAGAACTGGAGGTTTTTTGAAAATTTTTTTCATATGTTTTGATGCTTTTGTGGACAAACCAGCCAAGCAGCCAAGCGGTGTTTCTTGCTTCAGCTTTTTTTTATGAAGCCATAGGCTGGGCTTCACGTGTCTACTTGAGGTGAAGAACATGCATTGCTTGGCCCATTACAGAAAGGGCACAGTCGGCCACAGCAAAGCCGGGCCGACCGCCGCGAGGACATGGAAGAAAAGTCGGGGGGGCTGAGACGCTACCCTTTGGGCCGCGCATGGCCGCGCCACCCTCCCACTGAGTGTTTCATGTTTTTTCGCATGTGATCCATGTCTCGAGATCGCCCTCCTGGGCTTGACGATGCGATCGTCGCGACGATGCTTACGGCGCCAGTACTGAGGCGCGGGCAGTGCGTGCGCGACAGCCTCCGGAAGCTGGCGGTCTATGAGACCTCCTGGCTGCGGAACATGCAGTGCGCTGAAGTCACGGAACGAGCCGCAGAGTCGAATGCGCTTGGGAGGGAGGCAAGGTGGCTGGTGGTAGGCCCAGAGGTCCAGAGGTGGCTTTCTTATGTTTTCTTGAGGATTTCAGAGGTGGGGCAGGCGGGACCTCCAACAAAAGGTCGTTTTTCTCGGATGAAAGCTCTTCATGGGAGGATGATGGGACTTTCTGTTTGACTCGCCAGGTACGACCTCGAAGGGGTGGCGAAGGCTGGCCGTTTGGCCAAGCCTCACGTGTTTTCTCGTCCGCGGCACATGTGTTGTTTGGAACAGAGCAAGACGTGTAGGTTTATAACATTAAGATGCACACCCAAGGGTACTTGTAAGGCTTAAGCTAAGATGTTTTGGCTTTGAGCTCCAGTTGTTTCATTCTCCCCAAAAGGGAGCCAATCAAATGTGAGGCTGCAGAAGACTGTGACCCTGTCGGGTGGCTCCAGCTGAGCAGATCAACTGCAGCACACTCTTCAGCACTGCCAGGATTGTTGGATTTTCAAAGCCAGGGTTGATGTTGTTGGCTCCTTGGCTCTACCATCCACCACATCATAATACGTGGCTCTCAGAATGCGACTTGAAATTGGATGACAAACCAATCTTGCAAACATTAATTATTCATACAGATAAAACCATGTTATATTGACTTGCCCCCCCCCAAGAGTAATGTGGCGACCTGCGAATTGTGGAAGATACTCCACCTTCTGGATACGGACGACGCTTTCTCGTAGGTAGCACTTGAACCCAAATGTATTCAAGACAATCACGTCTCCTTCTACTATGTAGCTCGTGGCTAATTACAGGCTCCCAGACTCCCAATGCCGGCTTTTGACGCCACTCCCTCGCATACGGTGGGTGGCGCACGCGATGGCGCACCGAGGTCAAGGAGTTGCAAAACTTCATCGATGCGGCGAGCAAAGAGGCCTGCCTGTCCGGCCGAAGTGAAGGTGTGGAGGTGGAGAGTGGTGGCACCATGTGGCATCTCAAAACCAAGACCAGTTGGGGGCATTGGGTTTTATATTGTACTGTATATAATATACATCATAATTACGGAGTATTACACATAATATATATATATACACATGTCCCATCATGTTCATACATCAGACTGGAGATGCATTTCGGGATGGTGACCTCTTGATGCACTTCACCCGGTCACGGTCGCTCCACACGACCCACCAGAGAGACGCCGCCGCCGAGAGCGAGAGCTGCGCAGGTCTCGCCGGCGCCGAGCTTCGCCCGGCTCGTGGCGACTGGATGGAAAGGGTGGATGAGTTGGAAAGAAACATTCAGATCATTCAGGAGAGCAGGAGCAAGAATTGGGGCAGAATGCGTATCTATACGAACATCATGACAGAACAGCTATAGCAATGCCATAGTTCTCCTGGAGTTCTAGAAGTAAAAAAGGGGATCTTCGAAGTTCGAAGCGATTTGTCAGCATTTGTTTGTTCTATAGCTTGGTTTGTAGATGATTTCCATGCACATTGGCTTAAATAATCTAAAAGCTAGGGCAAAGGGGGTTGTCAGGTGTTTGGTATGTGTATGTCGGGTGTTTCATGTCTCAGTTTTTTTAGCTAAGGCACAGCCTTTCCATCAGCTGGGCAAGGGCCGTGAGCCGTGGGGGATCTTGGTTTCGATCTGCAGCACAGCTCAAGGTTGGCCATCGGGGGCTGCAGATTAGCAGGAAGTGTCTACACACTGATCAAGACCTTTGATTCGCTTGATCTCGAGTGGCAAAGGTCTGATGAGGCATATACCCTTTCCTAAGATATCCCACCTCTAAACGGGCACTCTGAGATTTTTATGGACAATGCTTCGGCAAGGTCATCTAGCATTAGGCTAGCAATACCAAGGCATTCCGTGTCGGCGTGCCTCTAGGAGGAGTTCATCCTCCTCTTGAGGGTTTCAGAATCACCACGATGGAACTTTTGGTAGCGGAAGATTCTGAGGCGCAAGATGACTCCGGAACTGCAGTCGCATCTGCAGGCGCCCCTGGGGGACACGATCACATCTCAGATCGTCTCCTGGACAGAAGAGGTCTACTATAGGTCCTAGGTTCTACTGCTGAATCATTTGATGTGGATGGTGGGCAGAGCAGAGCTGGCTTCACACGACGTTGACCTTGAGGTGTTACAGCTGAGGACATCGCCTTGAAGCATCGTTGCGCGATGTAAAATCACTTGGGTCGGGAAGATGTCCAGCATGGTCCTGCTGATTATTCATTGGTTTACCCTGCAAGAACTTCATCAACTAACTAACTAACTAGTCAGTCCTCCAATGTGCCACCTCGGGAAACCCTTTTTGCGACCAAGCATGCCTGAGGGTCACTGACCATCCGAAAGCGGATGCTGGTTTCAAAGCGGGTGGAATTCATATGAATTCATGATGGAGGAACGATGGCCATGCAGGTCCAGCAGCAAATTCGGCAGTTGATGGAGGAGCTGTCTCCTTTGGTCGACCGTCTCCTTGAAGGACCCGGGAAAGGATGACGAGGTGCCAAGACATGTCCTGCATCAGTGACAGGTCAATGCAAGGATGGAAAGGAATTGTTGATGAAAGAAGTGAGACAGGATATGGGACCTGGGACAGTCACTGAAATTAATGTACATTTGTTGACTATCCTTTATTTCCATAGATCATGGGCCATGGGCTAGTGAAAGATATGGTGCAGGTGAGTTTTGCATTATGTGCATTAGGTGTTCGTAAGTCAACCCATGAATGCTTGTGGGGATGGGCCGGATGGGCTGATTTTGCCTGAATGTTTGTTCATGACATATGGCTTGTGTCATGAGGAGCCGAAGTGCAGGACAGCCAGGGTGGGGTTGAAGGGCTGGAAGGCACAAAACAAGAAATCGTTGTTGAGATGGGCTATGGGCGTCAAAAGGATGTCATTCTGTCAAATCCCGAGCGTAGCATTTGGCCATCGTTGGGCGGCCACCTTTGTTCCCTTGATGCAGGGGTTTGCTCCATCAACCGGGACGTGAAACAGAAGCAAGATCTGAGGCCACTCAGGGGGGTTCTGCAAGGGAGACCCTATCCAACCAACGACTTTAATTGCCGTTTGGTCATTGCCCTAATTACCAAGGAAGACGGACCGCTTGGGCCATTGCAGTGGTCTCCTGCAGGTCAGCGGCTGAGGTCTTGAATCCAAAAGCGTTGGTCAGTGGCCATGAGTGCTATCCTCAAAACCAATTGCACTCGCTATTGGCAAGCGGTAAGCTATTGGCAAGCTCACCAGAGTGTTCAACAACACATGGGACCTGTGTTTAGTGGACTCTGGGGTCGCGTGGGGCGTGGCGTGGCGGGGGCCGGAAGACCCCATGGATGGCTTGTTACGTCTTTTGACTGTTGGTTTGTTGAGTAATAGAAGGGACAGCCCCCCCAAAAGTGAACTATCACTAGGTTTAACTGGTACCTAAGAACATCGTCGGTCGGTCCAGGAGGACATGGAGAAGCTGCGCCAACGCCTCTTGGAGCCCAAGATCCGGGCGGCCTTCTGCCAGGCGGGGCGTGCTGACCACGCAAGTGGCCCATACGGTTCGGTCCATGCCACGGCATGGTGTTGAGACAGGAAGATGCAGGAAGGTGTTCATCTTGAAAAGCAAAGCCAAAGACCAGTGTCAAGAAATCCTGGGCTGGCTGATGCGCTGGCTGTAGGATTTGTGGCACTCCAACCTGGAGTCTAGAGCCACAGCCAGCATCACCATCAAAACCTGTGGTTGTTTTGAGTAAACAACTTTGGTATGTTGTCCAAGAATTGATTTTACAAGTTTGGAAGCAAGTGTCAAACAAGGGTTTAAGCAGCGTCCAAGGTCGACCCCTGCTGCCCGCGATCTACCAAGGTCTTGCGGCTGGCGGTGCTGAAGGACGACCCAGGCACTGACATCGACAGCAGGGATGCCCAAAAGCCGAAGAACGCCTGGTGGGACAAATATCTAACAACATCCGAGCTAGTCAGCCCCAGGATTTCTACAGCTGTTGAACGTCATGTCTTGTATCCACGGGGGGTAGCAGCAAATTGATGTTCATCCCCCGAAACCTTCGGACAAGAGGTAGGAATCAAAGCAGAACATGTTTGCTCAGAAACCGGGATCAGGTTCTTCTGATGATCTCGCCACACTGAACAAGACCCCACCTGCATCCTGTCCATAGCTCCACACATGATGGAGAGGACAGATGTCTCACTTGCGCTCACTTGTTGACCAAACATATCCAGCCGATATGGCCATCCATGGCAATCAACCCCTCAATCCACTGAATGCACTGAACGTCTTTAGTCAAGCACCCATCCAATGGGGGCACTTTCTCTAGCATGTGCCAAGACACATCGCCAAACAGAAACCTAACCAGATCCCAAGCAATCCTGTTCATCTAACTTCATCTCTTGCCCCACCGAGCCCCACGTCGGGAGGTTTCACGTCGGGATCGACTGACGGAAGGTGCTTTGGGCAAACATCTCAGTTGTTCGGCCTTTGAGGTTCGGGGAGCCAGCGGAGAGGGGCTTTGAATTTGGACAGATTGACCTTTTGGGGACGCAGGTTCGAACGCTTCGAACCAAGGGTCCGTGGACCGGAATTTGAATATTGAAGTGGTGAATAGTGATGATATATGATTGTTGCAATAATTTGCAATACGGCAATACGTATATGTATGTAGATAATTTAGTTGTTTTGTTTTTGTTTAATATATATTATGATATGTTTGTTTTGCGTGTGTGTGTGTGTCTTTTTCCAAAGCCCCAGAACTGCCGCAACTTACGCTAGATTGCAAGTGCTGTAGGTGATGTAGAAACAAAGCGCCTGACCAATGATAAACTCACCCGGGCTGAAGAAGCCTCACTGGAGAAGGTTCTGGTGCTGGGATTCAATTCACAGTGTTCAACAGAAATCATCTGAACGTAGACGAGCTTGACAACTTGCTAGCTGCTGAATTGATGTGTATTTAAATTTGGCATTTCACCGTCGTTTTTTTGGGTTTTTTCTCTTTCTTCGCTGCGCGTGTGGGCGCTGGTCGTGCGGCCGGTCGTGCGGCGCCTCAGACACTCAAGTCTTGCTTCAAAGTGGCATTGGATGCCGCAGACGAGCAGAATGATGCCTGGCCCGGTGACCGAACGAGGGTGTCGAGAGCGCAGGGTGCGCGCACAGCGCCGGTGACTGGTGATAGGGAAGACCAAAAGAGCTATACAATCCAAAAAGGTCCAACACTTTGAAGAGGGTCGTCTTTGTGCTGCATTGTATAGGTTTATCAATATGTATCATTGTATCTTAACGAGTATCGCATTTAAGATTAATATATATACATTAGCTAACTAATATCATATTGTATGTCATCGTATATTATTAATTAAACTATTGATTATATCATGGTTTGTAAGTTCAGTGTCGTTTCAGTTTCGTGTCGTTTCGTTGCGGGTCGCCGAAGTCCTGAGGTCTGGGCGCGACCTCATGGCTCGGGGGCCGAACCTTCAACAGGCGGAGCGAAGGATGGCGCCTATCACATGGGTGGAGGTGAATCACTCACCATGGCCATCCACACCACCGGGGTCCTTCGAATCAGGTACAGTGCTAACCTGTTGTACAGTGCCTAACCTGAAGTTCTGCCTACTTGGCAGATGGTTGGAGCCAAAGATCCTGTTGTTCATCATCGTTGCCCTTTGGAACTTTGGAATTCAAGAGCTGTTTGGAGCCAGAGATGAAAGACATGTTGCAGCTAATGTCATGCGCGCCAAAAACAGGTTGTGCGGACCAATGACCTATTTGTACACTGTGCTTCCCACAAAGGTTCCTGCATGGACTGAAGCAAATGCGTCAATGCCGCAGCTGGCACGTAGGGTAGTTGATGAGTGATTGACAGTCAGCGTTTTCGGTTTGGTGTCCATTTTCAAGCAGACTCCGGGGCAACCTAAAGAAGCATCGTATTGCAATGGTCTATTGTTTCAGACCAATTTGTGGCTGGAACCTCTGGAACCCTCACGGACGAAGATCCTCATAATTAGAAAACCCCCGATTCAAGACGCAAGACCTGTCATTAGGGACGCAATCGGTCCTCTTGTCAGCAAAAAGGCACAGTACGTATTGGTCTTGCAAATGAGAATGACACATTATGTGTACATATATATATATATTTATAGATCCTTTCTTGTTCTGGTGTGAAGAATTGGAAGTTGGGACAGCCTTGTACACTCTCCAGAATGATGTTCCTCGCACCGGGTATTCAGATGTCCTCATTTTCCGCGCGAACTGTTTTGGGATGTCCCGGCATGATCTCACCATGAGTCCAGGAGGCACCCGCAACCGGCTGCGACGGTTGCCCACAGACCCCAAAAGATCCGAAGATTCAAGCTGTTTGGTGTACTTGTTTCATGCAGTATATGTGATAAATATACAATGTGTATCCGAAATGTCGTCCTTGGGAGTGGTCATTCTTGATGTTTCAGATGTTCCGAAACGCTCATGAGGTCCTAGCACAGCTGTACCGGACCGAGCAGGAGGGCAAACCAGCCACTCGGAGCATGGAGCAAGCGACGGGAGGAGAGAGCGGAGAGAGCGGAGACGTTGAAGATTCTGAAAGGATAAGTAGCTTCTTGTTACTAGTAGCGATGGCCTCCAACCTACTTGCAATGGCCTCCGACCTAGTAGCTTTAGTCTTAGACACCAGGGAATGAGACATCCAGACTCTGTCCGGACTTATCCCTGGTTTCGACATTCTGAAATGATAAATCTTTCAACTCAATGAAAAGGTGTCGTTTGGATGCTGAACGACACGTTACCATCCCACACGGTGACTAGACCATCAGCAGATCGAGGTCTCGTTGCTCTCGCACGTCTACAACCATGCGCTTTGGAACAAGGCTCCGGGGAACCTTTTGGATGGTCGGATTCAAAGGCACAACATCGGGCAGTCAGATGTTCGAAGCCTCTTCAGGTCATGGATTTGGATGGTGGGTCGGAAGTATGGCCATGCCATGTTTGGGAGGACGGTTTGCGGTTTTCGACAACACAAAGAAGATCAAAGAAGTGACACTTTGACCAGCAAACCGCAGGAACTTGCGGCCAAAAAGTAGGCAGCAATGCAGCAATGTTCTGAATTGATTTTGTCTTAGCCCCTACAACAACCGACAAAGTCTGGCCGTGCTGTCGCTGGGACACCAAACCGTCCAGGTCACCTTCTGGGAAGACGTCTTGCTCCTGTCTCTCTGTGAGGCAAGCGGGCTGGCCTGGGCCAATGGCGAAAACCTCCACATCGTGGAAGCTATTAGAAAGCAACCATAGAGGGATCAGGTTTTGGGTTTGATTCACACGCTTCTTGGTTTTGACTTTTTGATGTCATCTGTTCATATTCGTTCAGGGTTTTGGCCAAACATCCGTTGTTGGGCTCAACCGAAGATGCGGAGTGGGGGTGACTTGGTCCCGTTCCCAAGTCATGCCGGAGTGTTTCATGGAACCGATCAGGCAAATTTCACCATGTCACGAAAGGTAGCCCTTTAGGGGATACCTTGAGTTTGTCTTGCGAAGCAAGTGTTGGGACGTCCGGGTCTAATAATTGATCGCTCAATTCAGACCCCCTCCCCCCCCTCTAAAATCAATTCTCTCCTGGAGAACGTCTTCGTGAGCCTCTCATGATTTCAGGATAGTTGAAACCCTCTTGAACATTCAGAAAGAGTGAATATGAAATTCTAATCACGAAAGGTATTCCCCGAGGGGATACATACCTAGAGTTTGTTTTGTGAAGCACGTCATTTCTCTCCTGGGGAGCGCTTTCGTGAGCCTCTTATGGTTTCAGGATAGTTCAAATCCTATGATGTTCCGATTCAATGCTCACCGATGATCTGAGCCATGGGGCAAGTTTGTTTTCCTATGTTTTCCTAAGAATCTGTTTGAACATTTCGAGAGCATATGTTTGAACATTTAGAGTGCATAATATGAACATATATTTACGAAAGGTCGCCTCCGAAGGGATAAATCACCATGTCGAACATTGCATTTTTGTTCCTGCCTCTCGCGTTCTCTTCTCTTCCCGCTGTCCTACCTTTCGTGTCTCCCTCCTCTCAAGTTATCTGGGCTCAGGCTCAGCTATGAAGAACCACCCCAGTTATGAAGATGTTTCATCATCCCGGTCCAGAACTGGTGTTGTTAAGGTAGTGGTGAAGAACTATCCCGGTCCCAGTGGTCTCAGGTAGTGGTTTTTTATACATGGTGTTGTTACATCAAGAGATCGTTTCACAGCGCCTTACAGCGCCACCGAGGCCTATGCGGCGGAGGCGGTGTGGCGGCGATCGTTGGCGGCAGGCGGGGCGCCTCGGACGTGGTTTGGAGGGGTTAAGGTTCTTGGAAAAGTGCAAAGAGATGCAAAGACTATAGATACAAGATGATACAAGCTTGAAACTCCTGAACACCATCAGAGACTTCAGAGATGTGTGTGTGATCTGCTTCAATCCCCAAAACGGTTTGCTTTCGGGAGGAGCAAGTGGCCTTTTTGCAATAGGGACAAGGCTTCGCTAAACAGTGTCATGGTTCCTAGAGCACTGGTCACAATTGGACTCTCCATTGTTAGCTCTTGGATAGATACCCCAAAGAGGATGACTGTACTACCCCTGTCTCAAACAGCCCCAGTGCAATCCAGTTGCCACTCTCTGGTGGGGAGCCAGTGATTCCCAAGAAAAGCGTACCTATGACCCCTTGTCAGTAAGATAGTGGCGACTGGGTGAACCTGGCTCCAGATTGGGAAGGTAGCTAGGGCTAGACCACCTCAAAGCTGGGCCCACGCGCTACACCTCTCAAAAGGCTGGGCCGTTCCCTGCGCAGGCAGCCAGTTCAGCAAGCCGGCGATGACCAGCTTCCTGCAGCACCCGCCGGCATGTCTTTTGGAGATCGAGGGATCTACGCAGGGAAATGACGTGTCCCCAAGATGTTTGAGGAACTGAATAGCTGGTGTCCTATGGGACATTGTGACATTGTCCATGTAGCAGTTTGAAGATTAGATCACAGTATTATGCATTATGTAACGCTGACGCTTACCTAATTATGTTGGAACAGGGGAAGCATGTAGGAACTGACAACATGTTGAGGAACTGGTCGATGGCAGTCGAGCGGAGCTTTCGAGTGGTGACGTTCCAGTGAGACCCACTGGGCACTGGTGATGAACCGTTCATGGGCCAAGTCCCTAGCTGGACAGGATGGAAATGGTCCTTTCGAATGAACAGAGCAGGGGATATCAGTTGATCCAAGGCCTTCGACCAAGGGGGGAAGTGGGGCCCGGTGGGCGAAAGGATTCAAGAAGGGGCTTGAAAATGAATCTGCATCCTCCGGCCAGGCGCTTCGTGGGGTACATGATGGCCTTCGGCATCAGTTTCGACCAAGGGAGGCAACCGTGGGAGCGGAGCTGAACAACAAGAAGTTGAAATGGATAGGGTTTGGGTCCTCCAAACATGTCCAATCCATCCAGTGCGTGGATCACGTGGGACTCCTGACAGCTCCGTGAGGAACTCCGTGGCCGGCACCTTGCGGAAGAATGCCGCCTTCCTCGGACAGCAGACGGTGCCATGTGAGGGGAGAGGTGAATTCCCAAGGAACGAACACTGATCAACCATCAACCAAAGGGGGAAGAACGTTGAACATCGTTGAACAACAAGCTCCGGAGGTTGATCAGACCCCACTCCGACATACTCCCACGTATTTTATAGGTGTTGGCTGTCCTTGAGCAGGAGTACATGTTTGGGGTTTTGCGCCTGTCGTCTGTGGTGGTGGCGTTACTAGTTTGTGTCTCCAGAGAAGTCTGTGGAAGACGACGGAGCCAGTGCATTTGGATGGAAAACGTGTGAGTGTTTTCCGGTGCCTCAAAGTGGGGAACCAAGGTTGACTAAGTTGACTAAGGTACATTTCCCAAGCATGTCATTTTGATCTATGTTGATGTCCACATCCATGGTTGTTTGCCTTCGATATGTGCGATGATTACGATTGCATAGGCTCGTCGCATTCATGCTCTAAGCCCAAAGCCTGTGGGGAACGATGCACAAAAATCATGACCGTACCTTTGTAATCCTTTATGTTTTATATATATGCTTTTTAGGGCCAAAACAGGTTGCCCAACCAGGTTGCCCCACCCCAGCAGACTGTTCATGTGCACCACTCTTTCGACTGCACGCGGCTGGACTGGGTCCACCTGGAGGTTCAGATCTACAGCCAGCTGTTGCTCTCTGCCTACGAGGCGCTGAACAGAACGGAACCGGCCGGAAGCAGGTGCTGGAACGGAGGGCGTAGGACCCTCGTTCGGAGAGAAGAGTTACGGTGATTGAATGGGTGTCCAGCGGAAAGAAACAATCAGCTACACAATAACATACAATAAAATGTTAGACCGCGAAGACTTGTTGAGCAGCTTCTTTTTTGTTGTCGTGGAAGGCTTGGGATGTTCATGATTCTCCGTAGCAACGACTAGCTGGGTGCAAGACCTACGTAGTTTTGTATTATGTCCCATGTTTAGTAGTTCAACAGATTCAGCCTTCTCCAAAAAACATAGTGTTTGAGGTAATGAATGTCACAAAATCGGCAAGCCTAAGCTGCCCAGCTTGTTACCCGCAGACGGGACTTCTTCCAGACAACCATCCTTCCAATCCGACGTTCCCAGGTGGCGACACCTGAGGGCACGGGCGGCCAGGTGGACTCGTTGAACGTGGCGATGACCGAGGCCGGTCACGTGGCGGCGACGTCGGTCCGAGACCGCGAGCTCTGGAGCTGGTGCTTGAGTGAAGACGCTTGTACCAATGCACTGAGGACTGATATGTCATGATATGTCTATAAGTCCTGTTGACCCATCCTCATTATGGTGAAGTATGTTTTCAATATAATTGTGAACAATGTCAGTTGAGTATTCCACATAAATATCAAGTTACTAAACGTTTCCGTATGTTTCCATACTCAAATCAAGCAAAGCAGAGTTGCGTTTTTGTTTAGGATTCTGGGGATAGCCTGACCACCCATGGTTTGATATCATTCTGTAAGTCTTTGCATATTTAAGAACATCCAGGACTACTCAGGGAACAAGCTATTGACGTGTTTTATCTCAGATGCAGCCTTGTTTTTGTTTGGAGTGCACCATCTTCACAACAATCCCGTTAAAACAGAATCCTTGGGTTGGTGCCCTTTGCTTTTCGGTCAAACAACTTCGCACGGAAGAACACTATTGTTTGACTGGTGAAAAGTATCAGAAAGGCTAAGCCATGAGCAAAGACCTCGAGCAGCATGAGTTGAAAAAGACACGAGCAGCATGACGGGGGGGAGGCAGCATGATTAAGTAAAATTATCTCCTATAGTTCATAAACATCAACTTGGTTCTGTGGATCGGAGTAGTTTGGGGGGTCTAACAGCCAAAGCAGATTCATGGGGGAAATGAACCACCAATATTACTACTACTTTTAATTGCGGAGAAACTTGGAAGCTGTTTGGGTTTGGATTAACTTGGGAGGTGTATTCATCCTAGGTTCACAGGACATTTGAGGATATTTGACCATGATGGAACCCTGGAATTTGATACCTCAACGTTCTTCTACACACTGATGGGTTCACGCACCCGACCGTCCACGCTGCGGCGGTGCCGCCCACGTTCCAATCAGGCGCTCCCCAGCGGCGGAATGGCACCGCCGCTTGGACAGAGACGGGTTGGGAAGAGTTGAAGTCCTCTTGATCTCGGGGTCGAGTGGGATGAACTGATCGCGTGTTCCACTGGTGTCATCAGGATGCTCTGCGGCTTTTTGAGCGTTGAAGACGTTGAGATCCTTTGGATGCACTCGTGGTGTGACATGTTGTCATGGGCAGGCATGTCGGACAGGCATGTCGGACATACCATGTCCCCCGCTTGTTCTCACTGGGGCCGACTGGGTGTGTTGGCCCCCCCTGGAGAAAAAGCAGGGGACATGGGGTGCATGATAGACATGCCATGTGTGTTGCACGGGGCCGAAGCTCCAGGGCCACTGTTGACCTGGGCGGAGACGACTTCGAGGCGGTGGCGTTGGGCGTGCAGGCCCGGGTCGGTGGACACCGCTGCAGTCGGTGGGACTGGACACCCAAAGAGGTGCAAGGACCCCAAGAGCCCCAGGCTTCATTTGGTTGATGTATGATATGTTGATGTGGTTGCAGTTATGACGGGTTTCACTATGAAAAGAAGGTCACGACAAAAGTCACTGTGAATTACTGCCTTTGCGCTCTTGAAACAGTAAATATAATTATATACAATTATATAACTGATATAACTATATATAACTAAGATTAACTAAGTAGCTAGAAGGATGTGGTAGTAGATGTGGTTCATCAGATCAAAGCCTGGGTTGATTTTTGGTGTCCAATCATTGGAGTATGTACTTTTACTTGCCAAAGATGAACCGGATCAACCTCAGGTGAATTTGGGGGGAGTGGTGTAATGATAAGAGTCAGATGTCCCTAAACAAGCTGCTTTGCTTGCACCCACTCAAAACTTGTCCCCAACAATTTTGCTGGCCCACAACATGTACATATCCCTGATAAAGGTATTGTTTTAAACAGTGTTTGTTCATCTATGTAGACTTCTTCCGGTGGGGGGTTCTAGATAGACGCGAGTCACATTTTCCTGCCAGTTTCAGCACTCAAACCATTCCACACGGGCGTTGTTCACCACCAGCTGGTTTGGGTCGACGGACATTGTTTTTGTTTGGAACACACTCCTGGATCCTGCGGGTAGTTCACATCTTTTCTAGGCACCTAGGACTACGGGTACGGTACTTCACATCTATAGTTACGAGCTTGGCGAACTACAGTGTTTTGGCGTTACGTTCCTGCGCAGCGCGACAGCAAAAAAAACACCTGGCCGCCAGGCCGACTTCTCCGCAGAACGCCCGGTGCCTAGTAACGAACCTTGTTTGGGGGAGGGTCACCAGTGCACGATTGAAGCGAGAAAACTCAGGCAAACAGGCCCAGATGAGTCGTTTGACGCCAGGTTTTTGGTACTTTGAACGGTGAAGGGCTGGTTGTTACTCGACTGTGAAGTTTACAGTTTCTTTCATGATTTGTTCACTCCACTTGATTTGTTTGGGTTGCTAAAACGACTAGAAGAAATCATGTTATTCCGTCAACTGTATTTGTACAAGAATTCTGAAATATGTAGATGGAAATTGGACTGGAGCAAGCCGAATACCGTTTGAACCCTGGGAGAAATGAAACATAGAAGGCTAGCGGCTACGCGTACACAATTTGGTATGTTTTTGTAACAACTATTTTGGTGACCATTCGTCGCTTGGTCTGGCAATTGTTGTTCCCTCCATTTGATGGACCGTTGTGAAGTCTAAGGCAACTAGTGAGTTCAAAGGTGGGAAGTTTGTTTGGTGTTGTATGAAGGTCATTGTTCACCAATATTCTCCAAGCCTTCATGTCGCCAGTCTGAGGATCCACCATCGACATCCGTGAAGGTAATCTCAAGTCTATTCTAATCTTAAGTTGCAACCATTGAGTAACCCTTCACTTGTTTTGACACGTATTGATGAGGTCAACCGCAATCGTGTGTCAACACCATCGATGTAAGGACCCTATAGCCTATATATATATACAGATATTTTGGATAGATCATCAAACAACCAATGAATCTTTCGAGGAACATGGTCTCGATTCTCAGTCAACTTGCTGGCTCCTGCAATCTGGCGACACGGGGTCTGTGCCTGGAACCGTGGGACCCTGGCTGATTCACCACCCCTCGATGCTTCGAAGGAACTTGAACATGGATTGAACCATACTGAAACCATCAAATTGTCAAGGACGTTCGAGACTGTTAAGGATGTTCGGTGCCAGATGTTCGGGTTTTACGGATGTTTGGGTGGCCCGACCGCATTGGCTCGCCCCGGACCTGCCAGATGCCGTCGAGACGCCCTCAGCTCAGGGTGAGGCTCGGTGCCTTGCGGAACACGAGACGTCCAAGACCAGGGAGTGGGACTTGAGGAAAGCCACAGAGAAGATCTACAAGAAGCATCAAGAAGCTACTAGTAGCAAGGACGATATTAGGTTGGAGGCCATTACTACTAGTAACAAGAAGATGGATGGTGAAGATGGATTTTGCCACGTGAAGTTTCTCAGGCTCCCAAATCAATTAGAGAAAGTCAATCCCGAGGAAAGATGTCATCGGACATCGATCCAATTTGGCACTTCTTGGCGAAGCCGGTGGATCCGGTTGTACTGGCCGACTGCCCTGAATGATGAAAATCATTGGTGTGTCAAACATAGGACTCAACAAACTGCACGGGAAGGACCCGGCTTCAGAGTTTTTCCAGCCTTTCCTGCGCTGATGCTGCATAACACCTGGGGAAACGACAATGTCAAACTTTTAGACATATTCAAACAGCTAGCACATTGTCGCGTTCAAGACACATTGAAGTGCGTAGCGTAGGTAGTTCTTCTATTCGTGTGGCTTTCAGCTCCCACGCCGGAACTTGAACGATAAAGCCTTAAGTAATCGGGGCTTCATCAAATGTCCATGTTCTTGTTGATGGTACTTATTTGATCCCGGAGACATGGGCTGGTTGGCCAACTACTTAAGTTCCATGGTTAATATGTGGTGAACCCAAAGCTGCATACAATGCCTTTTGTACTCGTAGTATTCAGCACCGGTTGGAGAAAAGGATTAGATGGTTCAAAAGCCAGCAGCCATTGTCTCACATCCAAATGGCCGAGGAGGCTACAGATGAAGAGGAGGAGAAAGGCGCGGTTTCCTTTATCTCACTTCGCTGCGACATCACAAGCGACGAGATCATACAATCTAGGGGATGTGAGGGGCCTAAATTCTCGTCCAATCAGCAAGAATATGGAAATGGAAACGCACAGGACCCGTTTTCGCCCCAAAAGCCGTCGGGTGGAACTGGACTGATTGATCAAACTCGCGTGGATGGTCGGGTCCGATGTTTGGTCCACCGGAAGAAGATTCCCCAGACTGGTGGCTCTTGTATGCTTGGGTGGAAGTTAAGATATGTTGTGTTAAGATATGTTAAGACTGTCGAATGGATTTCTGTACCTGAAAGGCGTCAACCGGCAGCAAGGTAGCCTATACTAGCCGGATCTAGCCGGTTTTGAGAGCAGCCTGGTTGTATTTCGTTCGCCATTCAACAGCAAGCTAAACAGCTCGGCTAGGTCGTAAGAGTCTGACAGTCAAAGAGACCAGAAGTCAGAAATGATCAGCACTTTATTGGGAACGGATTGGAGACCTGAGCAGAAGTGTGGGGAAATTCGTAGAAGAGCAAAGTCCACAATTGGGTGAGGCAAAGTCTCAAGAGTCCTTCATTTCAGTCCTCTCAACTTCCTCGATGAGTGGCATGAATCGCAACGAACGAGGTGAAACAACATGTTTTCGACTAATCTAGAGGGATCGAGCAGTCCTCCTGCCGCAGTCCTTGTGTGAAAGAGTTAGCTTGACCAGCGACCTGGAAATACTCCATGTTACCGGGCTTGTGCTCCGAAGCAGAGGTGGTTTCTGGACATGCGCCGGTCTGTCCTTGTTTCCTTCACTTCCGGTCCATGCGCCGGGAGAAGTTGAATCCAAAATGCCAGGAGAAGAGACACAAGCGCTGCGAGTGCTGGACGGGGATGGGGTTTTCTGGCAGAGACCCAAGCCGAAGATCAGCCCAGGTCCCAACCTTGGAATTTGGTAGGACGGATTAATTGTATTTTCTATTTGATGGCACCTCTTAAGCCTCTCAAGCCAAAGAGTGGAAGATTGTAAGTAGACCAGCCTTTGTTGATGATAATCCTCCAAACCCGGCAGTTTCCCGTGTTTGTCAAAGGGCAGGTGATCAGCGGATTCCCCATTTGTCGTTGAAAGGGATTTGTTCCACTGATCGTGAATTATATTCTTTGCCAAGCAAGGTTAGACCTCGATGGTTGGGGATATGAAGCTTACGCTCAGCGGACGACCAGGAACAACATGATGCTTTCAATCGAGTAACGTTTATGATCGAAAGAAGGCTGGTGTTTTGCTTCACATAATATATATTCTGTTGCGAACGTGAGTTGCCAAGTTGGGGTCAAGGCAATCAAATGAATTCATTAGACATGACTATAGTTACACGCTGCCCATGAAAAGCTGGCCGTACCATCGTTTAATGATACCGTGTGCCAGTTAAATAAGATGTTTCCATGCCGGTGAATTGTTTGTCGGTCACTGCATTCAGAACAGGAGGAAGCTCAACCAAAGGTCAATGATGTCTTTACCTGATTCAAAAATATATATATATATATTATATCCAATACATCCAATGTATTATAATTGACATGTCGATGCCCGCTCGCACAGACTACAAGCCATTCTTAATGCAGACACTGCTCGGTCAGCACGCACGCACGCGCTCTTGCGCTCCCCGACAGGAAATAGGCGTTTGTTCTAGTCTGAAAAACATGTCTAAAAACCATGCCATTTGCGAACAGTTGTGCACTTCTCCGGCAGCAAACGCTGTAAATACCGCCACCACCACCACCACAACTACCACTACCACGACCACTACCACACCTGGCGGGCTAATGACAACGGCGTCAGGCTGCGTGATGGAGGGACTGCCGTCAGAAAGCAACGTTTGGCACGGACCGCCCGGCCCCTGACTTTTGCAGTGCTTTTTACATCTGATCTAAAAGACGGCGCTCTTGCCTGCAGTTCGAGCCGTTTTTGGATCTTGAGCGACTAAAAGAGGGTGGGGGAGAGGTTGTTTTTCGTCACAAAGGGTTGTGGAAATGACAATTATTGTAAAAATCGACCGAATCATGGATCTGGAAGGGAGATGAAGGGATCAATATTTGGGCCCTTAAAGACGGCTTTTGGTTTTGACCCGCCAAGGCGCCAACCACTGTAAAATGGCAGTGTTTTTGCAAATTTCGATCAATGTGTCACAATGCGGCAAAAACTGCGTAAATACCGACGTCCTTTAAGCTGCGTGAGCGCAAAGCACTGTAATAGTAGTAGTAGTAGTAGTAGTAGTAGTAACTTTTAGTACTGGTACTAGTACTAGAGAGTATTAGTAGTTGTAGTAGCAGCAGCAGTAGCAGTAGTAGTAGTACTATGCCGGTCGGCGCGTTGGCCGACCGGCCGGCCGACGCGGTCATTGATTTCATTATTCGCCCGGATACACAAATAACACAATATTTCCGGAAAATTTACAAAAAATATATTGTTTTATGAATTTATAAGAAGGTCGATTTAATTCTTGTATATATTTTAGTAAGCATTTTTTTTTTTATAAATAGAAAAAATAAATATTGGTTGAATATGTTGTAAATAAATAATGAAATGAAAGAATGAATTATATAACGATATTTAAATTATTATATTTCTTAATTATTTTTGATGGTCTTTAAAATAGAAGAATTGATATATTTTAACATAAATTATATTTTATAGAATCTATGATAAAAATTTATTCGTTTAAGAAAATAAAAATGCCGAGAATATATGCAATATATTTTTATTAAAATGGTTTATTATAAATAATATTAATTATTATTTGTTATTTTCGATATAAAAAATTATTTATACCTAGAACCCCGTGGTGGTTAAGAAAAGTGCCGCTTTTGAAAGCGGCAAAAATAAATGATGTATTTAAAAAAAAAAACGACGTTATTTCCCAAGAAACGCCGTTAGCAAAAAAAAAAAAAAAACGCCGTCAGTAACATTCTTATGATTGCCCGCCACGAGTCACCGGATGCTTTTGGCTGTAACTTATGTTTTTTTAATAACAGCATCTTGGAGCTTTGGTGGGATACCCTGTCATAGGAATCAGAGCCCACACAAACATAAAAACCCTTGCTTCACATGAAAATGTTGCAGGTGAAGCCCTAATTGTTTGGATGAACCCATGTCTTAAAGCTTGTTATGGAGCTATGCTTTCTGAAGGCTGGGTTTGGAAAGAGGATTGGTGGAGAAAAGGGTTGAACTACAAATTAAACCGTTCAAAAAAACCCAATGGTTCTATCTTCAACATGTAGGCACTTCTTCACTAAGTTTCTCACAGTTGCATTTCCAAGGCAACTTTTTAAGCAGTAGCACCACTACTGTACTTGCGTTTCAGAAGCGCGTATTTCTTCAAGAACATGCGTTGCAAAACCCGGGTGGTCACGGTTCTCACACTCACCCTGCGGGTCAAACGACACACATGTCCTATAGTGTCTTCATTTTGCTCATTTCCCCACGCTAGCGGGTTCAGGGCCAGCTGATTTCCCATCTTTAATTGCACCCTTATCTCATGTGCAAGGTGGGCAAGAGCATGAAATTTGGGTTTCAACCCAAAGGCGACCATTGACATTCCAAAAGCATGTCCACCCAGAAGGCGCTACCCCTTCAGCATCATAAACAATCTCCAATACAAGTGTTTGGCACAGGTTTTGTGCAGCCAGAGGCCGTGGTCGTAAAGAATCTCCATCACGTGAAAGGAATGTTGCGCGGTGTGTTTGACCAGTTTCAATAGCCGCACGTGTTTCTGAGATGCAACCGTGGGTGAAGATAAATGTAGCCCTGCCACCCACGCAACCCATTTGCTCAACATGACTGTGTCACTTCCTTTGCTATTGCTCCATGGAGAATCCGCAAAGGACTTCATTGAAAAAAAACGCCTTGCTGAATGACTGAAGTCCTGGGCTAAAACTGTTGACAAGAGCCCACAAGCGGAAACTATAGTGGGCTCGCTCCAGCCTGCTGTCAATATCCTTTGACTCATTTGCAGACCCATCATCAAAAAGGCCAACTCTGCAAAACAGAACGACGCAAGAGCCGACGAAATCGCGTCCGAGCCCGACCTTCCAAAGGTGGAAGAAGTCCAGTTTGAGAAGGTGTTCCGGTTTGGTGGAGTCAAAGTCAATGGTAGTCAAGATTGGTGTTGAAGACCATGGGCGGGAATTGAACATTGTAGGCGCCCATCTTGGTTCATGCTCAACCAGTTCAAATGGAAATCCAGGCGCTCCTGCTTGGCAAAGAGAACACATGAGATTTCCATATCTTGTACCAAATGTGTTGTAACTCCTGTCAAGATTCCCAATGGCAACTTGGTGTTTGAAGTCGCCTTTGGAACCAACGATGCAGCCATAGTAGCGGACACCACCCACATCCACACCTGAAGCAAATAGGTCCTTCAGGTCTTCCACCATAAGCTTGATGTGCTCGTGTTCAACCGCTGGGTGTCTTTTGTAGTACCAATGTGGAAGCCCGAACAGAACATGCCTCGTTAGGAAGGAATGGTTTTTGTTATTTGTTGACTGCTTGCAAGCTCGGTGAAAATCTTCCTGCCGCAAAGCATCCCCAACATTTCCGTTTTGGACAGGAATGTCCAAAGGAGGCAACTCAGACAGGTGTTGCTCACAACTGCATGTTTTGACATGCTCATCTAAGCCCAGAACCGCTTCCATGCTCCAAACCAAAAACTGTCCACGTTTAGGCCCACGACCTTCGTCCCCAAACAAAGCAAGAGGAATTACCCTGTCTAGTCGCGAATTGTTGGGTGAAGAAAAAAATGGCGTGCTCACCATGGTACTTCCGGTAAGATTCCCAAAATGCTCGTAGCTGCAAACCGATTTTGGCACTGTCTTGAAAGCCTCCTGTGAGACACCCAGGGTATAGACGCATCAACTCTTTAACCCAGCTGGTTGGCCGCACCCAGTGAGAAGTGATAGAACCATTGTCAGTGTCATGGATCACATCTTCAATTCGAACTGGCATGGACAGGTTCCAGCGGAAAAATGTTGCGTGGAGATCCCTCTCATGGTTGTGGCTACGGCTCTTTCCAGAGGCACGCCCGGCGTGCAGCATGTTAGCTGTTCTGGAAGCTGTTGCCTCGGCTAGTGAGCGAGCGAGAGGATTTCACCACCCCCCTACCAATGTCTGTTTACTTCAAATCCTAGACACTTCAGTCAAAACCGTTGGCAAAATAGGTGCAGAAGCAAAAGAATTGCCAACGCAGTTCAAACAAGCATAGCTGAGATGTCCATTGAATGAGCCAGGGTGTATTGGTGTATCCTATCATGATAAGTTTTGGCAATCCGGTGCGGCATTCAGAAGTGATTCACAATGGCTTAAATAATCTCACGTGTAGTAAAAAGCAAAAAGATCGTGGTTTGCTCGTGGGAAGGGCGTGTTACGTAACTCTTCAAATGTGTTTCTGTGAGTGAGACATAGATTAGGACCCCAAACCCCGCATCAACCACAACAGTCCAGATACCCCCTCTGCAAGATTTTCAGCAGCCTGTTCCATGAGCGGGTCCTCGGCTTCACCTGGCTTGATTGTGAAACAGGCGGATCAACTTTACTTTTTGGTATTTATAGTGGATGGAAGTTGGATGCTGAGGGTGGGGTGACAACTGCAGTTCAACTTTGGCAGATCTTTTTTCGTCGCCACGCGGTTTTCTGAAGAAGATCCACTCATGTGCAAAAACCTATGGGGATCATCCCACAGGAATGTCCACACGAAACATGAATTTTATTTCACAGCTCCTACTCACTTGCTTCTTTTCGCTGCGGGCTCTTCCGCAGATTCAGGCCGTTTCCGACCTGACGCCTTCGCTTTCGCATCCGCCTTGGCCTTTGCTTTGGCCTTTGCTCCAGCGGCGGGCTGAGCAGGGCCCTTTTTCCAAGCCATCCTCGGCAGGGAAAGCGGAACACACTAGAGCTTCTGAGCGGTTGCTCCTACTGTTTACATAAGATTCAACTTTTTGTGTGCAAAGGTCTTCAAGCGTGTATCCTTGCATGACCGATGTCACAACAAAAATGTTTCACAACCTTTTCATGTACACACGTCCCTGCAGTGTTGTACAAACCAAAAGGGAAGCAAAAGCATGGCCCCACAGTGTTGTACAAACCCAAGCTGAACATCCAAATCCAATCAACTGGGCTCATGGCGCCAGACGGGACTCAAGACATACTGCTTCGATGGACCTCAGAACAAATGCAAGTGATTGAGCCATGGACTGGTGCTTTTGGTCTGCCGAGGGTTTAGCCTAAAATCCCTGTCTATCAAAGCGATGCCAAAAATCCCATTGTATGGGAAGGTTACTGACTTGAAGTGGGGTATTCATCATTCATCCACATGACTGGATGTTCTGAGGTGAGTGCGACTTCTTGGCACTTTCAAAATTCTCCCGGAACTTCTTTTGCATCCTTAGCACCGTTGGGGCTCTCAGAGTGAAGCAGTCGGACCTGGAAGTCGGACCTCGAAATGAGGGAACTGAACGATGCCAAGCTTTCTTCTAGAAAACGAACTTTCTACTCGGGTAAGGACCCCTTGGTGAAGCCATTCACCAGCCCCGAGCTGTAGCTCTCGCAAATCTCTTCGTCAATGCCAAACAAGTTTTTGTGCAAACTGATCACTTTTTCCAATAGCCTGAGCGTACAAACAAAGTTTGTTGGTTGGTTGCGGTGATGTCGACAATTCCCTCCAAACAAAGCCATGTCTTTCATTTTTCCAAACCAGGAAGTGACTTGTAGTTTGAGAAACTTTGTTTGTGTGTCAGTCTTGTTTGCCATCTTCTCCAGCTTGTCTTTGTGACCGCCTAACTTCTCCAAGCGCTTCTGGATTGCCTTGCTCACCTTGGCGACAAGTCCTGAAGCTTGAACATCAGCCCTCTCAATGTCCGGTGGGAAATTCACTTGCTTCATGATCTTTTGTTGATCAGCATCGTCTTCACTGTCAGCAGCTTCCTCATCATCGTCATCGTCATTACCTTTAATGAAACAACAGGGGTTCGACTTGTGAACAGGGCAAAGCAAACTTGATTATACTGTTTACCCGGCCCTCCCCATCAAACAGAACACCAATTCAAGAGTTGTCAGCCTGACATCAAAGCTCTATCACTAGTCTATGACTCTATGCGTAAAAGTGTCCTTCACTCTGTGTGTTCTTCATCCGACAGCTGAGGTCATACGATGTCATTTTGCCCGTCACTACGGGCACCGTCTGGTCATCCGTGGTCTCATCAATTGCTCTTTCCAAAATACTCCGTTGTGTTTTCCTTGGACACGATGAAAACCAGGCAGGATAAGCAAAGGTAACCGGTTCATTTATGTTGCTATTTAAAAAAGTTTGTGTACCTTATGAGTCCACGTTTTGCTATGGCAGCTATGGGGCCATGGGAAACTTGGCACATCATACCTTCCTACCCCACATTGTTTTTCTTGAAGCTACCCTCAAGAGACCCCAATAAAGAACCAAGAGACTTGCGTTGGCCTTTCTGGCTGGTTCTGACCCAGTACAAGGTGCCTTCCCCGTATTCACTCTTCCTCCAGGGGCAATCTTGGTTTCATGTTTGGGTGGCAGAAACAATCTAAAAAGCAAATGCAAGGTCTCAACAAAAGAGGCCAAGACAGCTCTACTGCCCAACCGCATGCCTCGTGAACCCAGGTGTGGCCAGGCAATGTTTCTTGGCGCCCATCCTCTTCTTCCTGGGCCGAGAAGGCGAGTGGAGAAGAAGGGGTGAAGGTAGGAGCATTGAGTGGGTGTTGATTGATCCGGGAATGAAGCAAATTGTTGATGCCAAGGATCTCCGGCCACTTCAGATCTATCATGTCTTGTTCTGATAGAAATTCGTAGTTGCTCTCAATCGTAAACTCATCCAACTCTTGGTAAACACGTCGAACCTTTGATACGAAGCGCTCCTGCGGACGAAGATTTACTGGAATGTTTTGTTTGGGAACAATCTATTTGGTTAACCTTGATGGCTGAAAAATCAAATCAAGAATGAAACTAAAGCATAAACCCAGTCCGTTTCGTGGCCACACTTCTCGAAGAGACTTTCAAGTTGGCGGCGTCCCCCATTCTCGGTGGTGTCTTTCCATTGTTCTGCAACTTCAGGCGGCACTTTGTACTCACCCTTACTGTTTGGGGTACACGCTCGTCGCAATCGTGCTGCTGCAGCAGCCACAGACAAAAAAGCCGGTGGTTTTTCTTCTATCCCTGGTTCTTCCAAGTACTCCTCATCAGCCACATCCCCAGGAATGGTAGTTGTAGTTCCGACCCCCCTTTCATCATTCTTAGGTTTAGGGGTCTTGACTTGCTCATCCCCTTTCGGGAGCTCAGAGTCAACATCAATGACGGCGCAAGCCTCATGAGCGCCCGACCTGTGCCCTTCCTCCGGAGGAACGACCTGTGTTGGCTCCGTACGGAGAGATTCAGCGCTGAGACCAAGCTGGTTGTCGGGCGAGAGGGTAAGAGGTGGGTCTGCCTGGGTCAAGGGGAAATCCACATCCATGGGCCCCCTCGAAGGGTCGACCTTGGATGAACAGTTCAACAACCAACCAAATACTCTGTTATGTTTTGTTGCTTTTGTAAAGCTAGTTCAGGCTGAAGGGCTGTTTCACCAACAGGAGCTGGTACTGCAGCTGAAGCAGCTGCTAGTAGTGGTGCCCCGGTCTCCGCTTCATCAGCGGCCCTTCTCCCAATGCCTTTGCCACGTCGAAGGCGCACAGCCTCAAAGAAAGGACAAATACATTGGTCTGTAGTTTGGGGTCTTGTTTGAACAACTAACAACGAGGAAAGAGTGTTGGTTCTTCATCTGAGTGGCTTCCAGCTTTTGTTTCTCAGCCAGCATTTGCTGGTATTGTGGATCGCTCTCAAGGCTCATGGTTTGTCCCCTCAAAATCTCGTGACCTCGTAAAAGAGATTCACTACTCATCTCTATTGAGTGGAGCCAAATGTAAAACTCCTGTCACAACAAGTGTTCTGCATGACCAAATTCCATCAAAATCCTGTTACGCTGAATTACGCCGGAATTACGCGGATTTACGCCGGAATTACGCGGATTTACGCCGGAATTATTTTCTAAGAATTCATGAAACTTTGGAAACAAACACGAAAACACTGTTCTTACGAGCATTTTGGTCACTCATGCTAGCAATCTCCTTGAATTAAGCCACATGGAGTTCACATGTCGAATTGTAGTCTACTGTACGCTTCCCCAATCAAGGGAGGCAAAATCCAAACAACTGTGGGAACACCTGGTTGTATTCCTCAGGGACTTTCAAAAGCTTTGAGCGGAGCACATAGCGTAAACATTGAATTAGGCTTGCATCTTCCCAAACATCACCTACTGGAAGCTGGACAAATAGATCCACAAGTGGTATATCAGAACTCACCTCCCAGCGTTTGCGTACATCCCCTGGAATGACTGGACGTGTTGAAAGTTGAAACAAACCCTTGAACATTTGAAGCCTGTTTTTGTTGGAACCCCCTCCACCTGTGGAAGCCGCGGCTTAGATCGGAGCAAAGCCTTTCTGGAACGCAGCACTTGCGCTGCAAAGGCTGGCGGATACTCCCTGGCAGCGGTGAGGTTTGGAAAAGATTTACAATTTACACAAAAAAACCAAAGCTCATGAACTCACAAACCCACAAAACAAATGCTAGCGCCTGACAAGGCACTGGGATTTTTTCAACTGGGGTGTCCCCTTGAATCTCACCTTCCCAGAACCATCCACGTACTTGATGGCCGTGGGGGGGGCCGCGGTTCTTCTTGGCCTTTGGGTCTAAGCAGCTTTGATTTTAGAGAGCTACAAAGTAAGAAGGTGCCCACAACCTCGTAGCTTTCTCGTTCGGGTGCCCGTAGTTCTCCATGTTGAAGCAAGTTCTGTACATCTTAGCCATCGGCAAAACTATTATGGTAGGACACGTTTTCAAAGCTAGTCAGACTAGACCTACCCTACCCAATAAAAAGAGCTACAAAGCAAAGCCAGGTCTCAATGATTCCATGTTTCCGAAGGGTTACAAGAAGCCAGATCATTCTGTTGTGGTACATGATCAAGCTCGATCGAGGGTTCTCAAGGATAGGCATTCCACCGACACAAATAGTCAGCATTGTGACCAAGGCAAACCTCTACAGGGACCCAATTTGAAATGCAAGAGCTTTAAGCGTGAACAAGCATTTGAAGATACCTCAACCAAACTGTGGGGGTCCATTTTGGGAGCGTTACACTGGTAGCAACCCCCAACCTGGAAACCATATGGTTGGCCGACTGTGTTGACTTGTAATCAGGGTGGCCCATAGCATTCAAGACATCGCGTTGCGACGTGCCAACATTTATGGATACCCAAATTGAACAAAGCACTCCAGCCAAGACCAACAGATCTTCCCAGCTGCAATGGATGATGCTCTGCAAGATCAACCTTGGTCCCCACCCCCAAGAACCCAGAACATCCCAACGCTTTCAAAATCAAATTGCCAATCAAACTTCAAACAAGTATAAACAAGTAACAGAAATCCTCCAGACTCGTTGATGTCCATTGCAGATCTAGGATTCTGAGACTTGTCGTATGAAATGTCGTGCGCTGCAATTCCAAGCCCTACACTCTTGGCAAGCCTGCACAATCGACCGGTTCCTGAGAACAGTTCCATCACCTGAACCTCGCTCGCAGGTGGTGGCAAATCAAGCCAGCTCGTGGCTAAGACCAATAACACGAAGGCCTGGGATGGAATTCTGGGGTGGCCACGGTGTATACTATGACTCAGACTTGTTGGGCTGATGGGTCAGAGAGAAATAGACTGACGGCTGAACAAAAGAACATCAAGCCTTGGGAACATTGAAGGCCAACAATCTCCTCAGGGCAAGCTCCAGCTGGGATCGGTTCATGGCGTGTCGCGGAATCCAATAAGGCTGCTACTTGATACTGGAAATTGGCTCTAGGGCACCATTCAAGAGGCAAAAACAGCCAAAGAGATTGAGGTTCAAGCCCGAAGAGAAAATGAACATCAAAGAAACTTCGAAGACCAGTTGAGAGGTTCCCGGCAAACCTATTGGCATTCCCACAGAAACATTCGCGATCAAACATGCCCGGATTTCCTGTCGGGCCATCCCAACGTTTTAGGAAAGCTTTCAGCACCCTGGGAGCTGGCATCGACGAGAAGAAGGCCTGCTGTACCTGGGGCAAACTTGTAGACGCATGAACGCGCGCACATGTTTCACGCACACACCCTGAAGCAAGAGACACTCGCGTGCATTTTGCCTCACAGCACCCCACGAGTAGATAGCGTTTCGATCGATAGATCTGAAAGAAAGATGGGAAAGAAGCTGCATAACTGATAAGCCAATCAGTGATTTCACTGCTTGACATGAACATCAATTTCCCCGGCACCCTCTACCTAGCCATCAGTCTCTCAGCTGGTCATACCAACAGTAAACTCACTTGATGCGGCCTCAAGAATGATAAAAACATGCTGAAGTCTTGAACCCTTTGTTTCAAGTAGAAGGCTAGCTCTGAAGCCAGTAACAAGCAAGTCTTTCCATGTCAAGAAACTCTTCACTGCCGAATCCTCAAGGAATTCCTCTGCAAGCTTCACGGCAGTGGAGGGGTAGTGGTCGAGGCCACCGTCAGCTGGAAAGGCACAATTCCAGCGACGCTGGCAAAACTTCCAAAAAGGGTCCTGCAAAAAAGCATTCTAAAGAAGTCTCCCAAAAAAAGTCCATGGTCCGGTCCTCCAAAGAGCTGGGAGAGGTAACCTTGTTCTGAACAATGGTTTCAAATGCGGTGCGCAATGCCTGCCAAAAGGTCTTCATGGGATCCTTGGCTGCCTGGGTTCGGCGGGCAAACGTGGCCTTAGGTCCGTCTCCGCGCTGCTTTCTACCATCCGAGTGTCCTGCCTTCGCTGTTGTTGTTGCTGCTCCAGCTTTTGCTTTTGCTTTTGCTTTGGGCTTGCTGGAACGCGTGGTTCGCGGTTTTGCCTTTGCCTTTGCCTTCGCCTTGGCTGCCTTTTTTGCTGCTGGGCCCTTGCGGGCATCACCTTTCTCTGCGGGTGTTTCCTCGACTACTTTCTGACCTCGAGCACGCTTGGCAGCGGTTGCTTTGGGTGCAGCGGCAGGACGTTTCATTGCAGCGGCAGGACGTTTCATCCGCCCCCGACAAGACTGCCGCAAGCCGATCTGAGCAAGGCGGTCAATCTCCACGATTTCCTGCGTGCAACATGCATGCCAAAAAATGCTCCCACGAATCACTTAAAAGATTGCACAACTAACCACTTACGCATCCAAGTAAAATGGCTCCTTAGTTTCGCTTGCCGCCATTTCCTCCATGATTGGGCTGACAGCCTGTTTTGGTGGGGGGGCCCCGAAGCAGCGGTCTCGAGACCTGTGTCATGGGGCAGAGGCGTGAGCAAAGCGTGGCCCTCAACTGCATCAAGAGCAGGAAGATCCTTTCCCAGACCCTTGTCCGGGCTCTTGCCACCGGTCAAACAGTTCACAATTTGAGTGGCTTCGAAAGGAAGTGTTTCTTGTGCCTCTGATGCAGCTTGGCCTAGGCCACTTGACAAGGCAAAATGATTCGAGACTTAAGCTGGAACACGATCTAGACAAGAAGTCTTGCCAGGCCACTTGGATACTCATTGCAGCCAATGCAGTCCGACGTTCTGCCATTCCGAGCCTCATGAACAAAGCAAGCTAAAGCACAGGTAATGTGCCTTGTACATCATTGACGATAGAAACAACCTGAGTCTAACACTCCAACTGCTTGATCCGCTCCACAAGCATGGCTTCGTCCATGTCCTCTGGGACATCAGGCAGCGGCATTGGTGAGTATGGACTGCGAGCCCAAAGTGAACCAGGCGAATCTGTTGGCCGAAGTTCTCCACCAAGAGTGTAGGCTAGGTATTCATCGTTGATGGCAGGCTTTGAGTCAGGGGTGGAGGTTCCATCCAAAGTCTCCACTTCCTCCTTTGGCTGGTCTGCAATTTCTGCATCATCGGCTGTCGCTGTTGGCTCAACTGCAACTTCAACTTCGCCTTGAGACTCTGACTCAACGTTTGACTTGCTCTTCTTGGTCCGTGCCTTTGGTTCCCAAAACTGTTGAACCTTCGCGAACAAATTCTGTAAAGCCATGTCCTCAGAATCAAATTGGTAAAGTGGAACAGCTCAATGTGTGAAACCACACACAAGCCCACACTACTACTTCATTATTTCTATACAAGGCTCCCTGCGTTTGGAACCATCATTGCGCCGAACTATCAGGCTCATAAAGCCCTTGATCGCTGCTGCCTCACAGTGCACCACAGAAGGGCGCGTTGCCAGGCCAATGGTGGCACGAAACGCCTTCACCTGACAAGGGAAGAGACATTGGGGATCCAACTTGCGGGGTGTGTTCACAGCTAGAGTTTCCTAAGCACAACACCCCCGCCTCCCACTTAAGGTTGTCCATTGGCAAAGTCTTCGCAACTGACTGCCGTGGACACCAAAAGTCAACCATCATCTTCATGAGATGGACATTCAACTGAAGTGTCTCGTAGCTGATGAGGCCGGTTTTCTTAGCGTCTGGCCAAATGCATAGAGTTCTTCTCTTGACCACAGCACGACGAAAAGTCTCATCCCGGTCCCACAAATCAGCCAAGCCCTCCAAATCATCACCCTGAGGTTTTCGATGCCACACGTCAGGAGTAGCCATAGCAAAAGCGGGTTCCCAAGTTGGGAGTTCAGAGCCTAAGGATCTAGACATAAAACATATGTTGGAAAATTGTTCCATCAAGGTCGCCAGACACAGGTGCAGCATAAAGAAAGAATAGTAAAAACCGTGGGGCACTGCTTGAGCAGATCTAAGCCTGGCCACTTCACCAAACGCTCAAACTGAGAAACTTCATCTAGAGAAACCGCGCGTTGCGACCAGCCTTCATGCGCAGGGTGAAGTGGTAAAAATGCCCAGCCAAGGTTCCTGACAAGACAAGAACAAGACAAGAACGACGATGACGAGAGGATGACCAGGACAGCCAAGGCAACAGCAGCAACAACAATAACCAACACCACCACAACAACCACAACAACAACAGCTCCTTTTGTTTGTCATTTCTTGCCTTAATGAAGTACAAAGACATCGTATTGTTGATGCCATTGGCGCACACACACCTGCGTGGCAATCAGCAGCCGATGACCAGTCAGTGGTGATTGCAGCGTGTATCATGCGAGGAAGAGTGAAGGCCGTGAAGGCAACATTTTTCTATGAACAGACACATGGTGCAGTAGTATGATGCCTGTACACATTAATGACTTGACACACTTGCTCGGACCCGACAGGCTTTCAAGCAGTGCTTCCTGAAGCCTCGGGCAGTGCCATCTCAGCCTCGCCCTGGGCAGGTGACGGACCTTGGCAAGTGAAGTGAACCCAACTTCCCATGAGTTCCCAGGCCCGTGTGTTGTTCATGGTTCATTGAGACATGGACTTGGTCAGTTTTTTCCAAGCGACTCGGCTGTTTCTTCCATTCCCGAATGTATGATGCCAACTGGAAAATGTATTCCTTTGCCGTATAGTTTTCGACAAGTTCTTGGACGCGTTGAGGATCAAGGTCACACATGTCCTGAGACCAAGGGCAAGTTTCATCTTAGGAGATTGCTTCTCACAACATGTGAGGGCACAGACAAAAGCAGCGAAAGCTTGAACAAAAAACATCCATTGGATAGAGGTTCGGAAGGGTCATCGGTGGGCCAAAGAACCGCTTGAGCCTCGGCCCAGAACTTGTCAGGCAAATCATCAAGGCCTGCCAGCCACACCCACCCCCAAAAGTAAGCCTGGCTGTAGATAAACTGAGAATACTTGACTCGAAAAACAAATGTCCTGCCTGCTGACGTCAACATATCCTTGATAGTTTCGGTCCGAGATGTTGGCTTTGGTTCAGCCATGAATGAAAACTCGTGAAAACTAATCCAAGCGTTCACGACACTCAGAATTTCCACCTTGAGCCCTAATTGTGTTGGAGCGAGCTGAAAAGAGGAAGATCAAAACTTCTGGCATCATGTTGTGTCAAACTGAATTGAATCAAGCAAATCAACAGTCGATGGAGGGGCGGCGCCTCTCAGAAAGCTCGACCGGTCCAAAGGGGCTGCAGCTGAGCCAAGTTGTTCGTGAGTCATCCCACTATCCATCCTAAAATCTTCTAAGTGAGTGGTTCAGAAAGAACGCCGGCACATATTCTGAAAAACGCCGTCAGGTTTTAAGTTACGCCGGAGAATGGGAAACGCAAGTTTTTTTGTAAAAGTGCCGGCGTTGGGTTCCTAGGTATATAAATTAAAATTTGAATTTATTTATAAGGTATATATTTTATATATATATATACGGTGGAATTTAAAATTGATTGAAAAATTTTGTAAAATTGTGTTTAATCTATATATATAGAGAATTTATATATAAGAAATAATTTAGATTCTATATTTAATTATATGATATTTGATATATAAATATGTATTTTATATAAAATATTAATATATTATTATATATATAAATATTCTATATATATATATTTATTTTGTTTTAAATATGTTATATTTTTTTAGTTTTATTTTTTTTATAAATAATATATAAATATATTTTTATTATATTAAATTATTATTAATGTAAAAAATATAGATTATTTATATATGATTAACATAAATTTATTTATATATATTTTTTGGGGAAGTATATAAGGAAAATGAATATTATTTGAAAATTATGTTATATTTGATTAAATATATTATAATTTATGTTTTGATTATTATATGAAGATTAAAACGAAATTAAATTTACGTAATTTTTAAATATATAAAGATCTTTCGTAATATTTATTATATAGAATTACGATTAATCGAAATAAAAGGGGGATATATTCGTATTTTTGAGATTTATTATTTTATTTGATCATTTTAATTAAATATATGTTCTTTGGAAAATAATAGATTCCGATCTATAAATATTATAAAAATTTTCTTGGTAGCACTTCCAACTACCATATTGAACGATTAATTATGAAATTTATTTTTTTTGGAGAAATAAATGATCGATTACCAAATAGTTACAGAAAGGAGCGCTCTGAGCGGCGCGTTTTTGCATTGTTTCATTTTGTTTGTATTTTGTTTCTATCTTTGTATTGCGTTTCTATTGATTTTTGTGCCATTGAAAGAATACTATTCTGCCTCAACCCCCCCCCTCCCCCAAAGGCAATTTCCAAAATTCCAATTTTCCAAAATTCCAATTTTCCAAAATTCCAATTTTCCAAAATTCCAATTTTCCAAAAAAACCAAAGAAACCAAAAAAACCAATTGTGCCAGGACTTTGCCTCACCCCCTCTTCCCCCCATGGTCTGTGCAGAATTGGTTTCTTTGGTTTTTTTGGAAAATTGGAATTTTGGAAAATTGGAATTTTGGATTTTTTGATTTCCTGGGATGTTTTAAATTTTCAATTTCCTTGGAAGTAGACAATACTACCACTTTCTCTCAATTCCAGAACAGTCTCTGAAACCCTCAGTGATTTGTTCATTAGGGTCTAATAATGCTCCTTCTGCTCCTTTAACTCGAAAATTGGTAATACCTGACATTTTAGAATTATAACCAATAAAATTGACATCTGCAATTTTTTCAAATGACATACCAATAATGAATTTGTTCTTTCTGTATTGACGATACGAAAAACTTAAACTGTCATGTATTGTATAGCTCTTCTTAAATAGTAAAAGATTTATGATAATGATTGCGCTTCAAATTCTGTGTATTTCTGGGAATTGCTTAATTGAATTTGCCAACTTAAACTACGGGTGGCATCTTGAAAACCTTTGTACCTTGTAAGTCATTTGTATCAGCATTACCAGTATCATTAATTCTTCCATAGATCATAGGATTAATTCCATCTCGTATATACATAATTGTCAGGTAAGTATCGGTTCAGTTCTTCACCACTCCTTGGAGTTCTAAGTAAGGTAATGAATGCTCCAGTCAATTTAGAAGATAATTTTACAATATTTATATTAATTTCACCACCACCAGCATTGAATGTTTGGGTGATTGTGTGATAACAATTTGTAATGTTTCTTATCTTTGCCATTCCGCCCCCTTCTATGTCCTGCCATTCTAACACTCAATGGCTGACAAGTAGCACCAATATAGACATCGTCATTTTGTCATTTAGTATTCTGTAAAATTTGCCTTGGAGTAATCCACCATAACATTATATATTTTAATTAAGTTTAAATGTTTTTTTTAAATGAGTGATTGGGGTTAAATCCATTGCTTATATTGGTGCCGGGATTGATGTTCCAAAGGCCGTTCCCTTCAAAATTGATATAGCTGTGGCTCATTAAAGGGTTAGGTTCTTTCAAATCAGAAGTTACAGCGTAACCATCCAACATTGAAACAATATCGGATGGATTGAGGTAGTCAAGTCTTTTGGGACTTTTGTTCCTTTCCTTTTTGTTTTTATTGTAGGGGTAGCATAGGTTGTTGTAGCAAATGTATTAGGTTGTTCTTGATTGATCTTATTACAGAACTTGCAAGGTTATGCCCAACCAAACGGGTTATTTCTGGTGACTTTTCCAATTCTTCTATAACATGTTTGTATTTCTCACTGTGATGAACAGTTCTAGTAGGTATTAATAACAGATCATCCATAATATCCCTTGTTAAAGATCCATCACAACCACCTGTGCCACTTCTGTATAAAGTCTTACTTATTTTGTAAAAAGCACTTGGTGATGAATAGGCATTCCATAAGCCCCTGCGGTCTTCTATCTTCTCCTTGTTTGCTATATTTTTCTCTTCAGCATATAGTGTTCTATGTTGTTTAAAGTGATCATGTAAGTTTCTTGTAAAGTCATTCATTCTATCATTCCAATTTTGATTCTTTTTTTTCATAATCACTGTAGATTTCTTGACCGATCTTACTGAATAACATCTGGGCGCTTCCAGGCAGATCCTTCCAGGCAATGTCAGACACATCAATCATTCTCAAGAAAACGCATGAAAAAGGTTGAAAAATGTTCATTTTCATCGAAAAACGCGCCGCTCACAGCGCTCCCCTCTCAATAGTTGATATATTATTCTTCAAATATATATATTAAATATAGGATTCCTCCGTTCTTTTTTTTCTTTAATTCTTTTTCTTCTAAGCCGAAAAGATTTTTAGCCGGCAAAAATCAGGGGACACAATAATTTTTGAGCTCCAATGGTGAGAATTCATGATCCCTTAATTTGCCCAAATAATATTATATCATAAATATGAATACAGAGATGAAATACCTGAATTAAATAAAATCAAAATATTTATTTTAATTAATATTTCAATTGCAAAAATTAAATCATTTCTAGCTTCGGAAGTTCATCGTTTTCTGACGACCGATTGCAATGAATCCCTCAATCGATCGCCGACATTATCATATTTATAATTTATAAATATATGTTTTATATACAATAATGAAATATCAATTAATGCGTCGCTCCAAACAACTGAAATAGAAGGATTATGATTAGCAAACCAATAACAGATTCGGCGATCAATTCGACGCGACCGGAGGCCAGGCATTGGTAATTATTGGGTCCATCTGGCGCCAGGCGCGTGCATTTCTTAATGCCATTTCTGGCTTCAATTTTGGAGGTATTTTATTTTTAATTTTTGAATAGGCGAAACCAAAATTAACTTCAATTTTGCATGCTTTTTAACTTAAAATAATCGAATTATGGTCGAAATTGTTCGCGTTGCCTCGCCTATAGGTGATTGTCGCACATTGCGACCATGAATTATTTCAATAATATTATATATTAAATGCTATATTCCCATTAATCTCAATCTAATTGAATTTCAAAATTCTTTATTCCTTTCATGGGAGATCGAATATTTCAAATTAAAATATATTTCGCCACAGAGGTCTCCCCTGTTATTTGGTTTTTTGGGAGGAGAATCTCAATCAGATTGATCTTGGTAGAAATCCTCGTTAATTCTTGATTTAGAAAAATACCTTTCAAGAATTAGAGATTTATGATTTATTTTGGCTATATACATATTTTATTAAAAAAAAAAAAAAATCAATAGTTAAATTTTGGCTCAATAGCGGGACCGAGAAAAGGATTATTGTCTTGTCTATATCTTTTCATATGATATCGGATGCCCATCGATCCTTCGCAAGAAGAAAATATGCGAAATATGCTCGTATACGAAGCTTCAAAATTGTTGAGAAATTATAATTAACGGAACCGATAAATCCACCACGAAATACGTTACCAACGCCGAAAAAACCTATTAACAATAATTATAAAAATTAATTGCCAAATATAAAATATTTAAATTTTCGGACAATTTATATTAATTCTATATTATAAATAAAAATTCATATTTCATCAATATCAAAGATTTCCTAGCATAT